CAGCCCCTCCCCACCCTCCCCTCCACACCCAGCCCCTCCCTCCCCACCCAGCCCCTCCCTGCACGACGGACACAATAATCCCCTGTGGGCTGATGTAACCAGGAGATTCCTACCAGTATAAATGAATCTTGTTCAGGGCAGGCTTGGTCTCAGAGAGAATTAGATTGCTCCGAATTGAATTAGATCATGTGGACAAGACACTCTTGAAATCACACTTAACATTGACAGAAGAAAATGTCTACATCTGATTGGGAACATGTAGATAACATGAAAGCCTCGTCAGCTGCTACAATATCAGCTAAATGTAAAGATAACCTGATTTCCAAGTTCAACCTCTTTTCCAAGAAGAAACCAGATCCACACGTTAAAAAGTTAGAGTTGACAAGGTTGTTATTAATCAGAGTAACAGTCTAATTTTCAACGGCCTAAATCGGTTCTGGCTAAAGGGTTGAACTTCGCAGTCACCCCTAAACACATCCCAATGTATGATATCATTGCCCAGGTCGATGTAGCCCTTAAGGGTTTGGGACACATCGCTACAGACTTGGCAAGATCGGAAATCTCTGCAATCCTCAAAAACGCTAAGACACCAAACAGCAACATCAGTAAGGATGAGCGCCTTGAGCTTTCTCAATTAAAAAAGAGAGATGACATCGTTATCCTCTCAGCCGACAAGGGCAATGACACGGTCATCATGGACAAAACTACCTACAATAACAAAATTCAGGACCTACTTAATGATGGTAGCTACACAAAAATTAAAAGAGATCCCACCAACAGCCTCGTTGCAAAAACCAACAGTATCATCAAGTACGCCTACTTCAGCAGTTTTTTTCTTGCTGTGGTTGTCCCACCTGATGTAGATTGCTTGTGTTGCAATCGAAACGTTGTGATCTATTCTTTCTATACCTACGTGACTTTACCGAAAGAACCAAAGAGTATGGATTCCTGTAGTCACGAAAGCTTCCAATCAAGATTGAAGGTACACCCCTTCGTCCCATCGTCTCCACCATTGACTCACCCACCTATAAACTGCCCGATTTCTGTCTGAGACTTTGCAGCCATTCACTGGTGAGACTACCTCATCTGTACTTAACTCAGCTCACTTGGTATCGTTAATTAACGACATCTCGCTGTCTTCAGGTGATTTGCTAGTTAGTTTCGATGTAGTTTCTTTGTTCGCCAATGTTCCTGTGCCCGATACAATTGCAATCATTGAAGATTTGGTCCAACAAGGATTTAATGATGATGTACCAGCCCTGGTGAGACACTGCCTCACCAACGCATACTTCACCTGGAATAGAACATTCTACAAACAAACTGAAGGCACCCTAATGGGTTCTTCCTTGTAGCCAATATTTTCATGGACAAATTTGAGACAGATGCCATCCACACTATACGTCTGTCCTTGTGGAAGCGATACGTAGATGATACGTTCGTCATCTGGCCACATGGCCGACCAGCTATGAACCAATTGCTCAACCACATCAATTCCATACACCCAGCCATAAAATTCACCATGAAGGTAGAAAAGGATGGCAAGCTACCATTCTTGGATGTTCTAATCGAAAAGAGACCAGATGGCTAAATGGGCCACTCGGTCTACAGAAAAGCAACCCATACTGATGCCTATCTAAAACCTGACTCCCACCACCATTCATCCCAGAAGAATTCCCTCATCAAAACTCTACACCATAAAGCTCGATGTATCACCGACCATCACCTAGCCAGTGAACTGAAACACGTGCACCAAGTTCTCAAGACGAATGGATATTCAGACTACACAATCCGTAAATCTATCACTCCAACCGTTGGGAAAGAACCATCTGAGGACCCAATCAAAACCACCACCTTGCCATACATAGCAGGGGTCACCAAAAATATTTCCAAAATCATGAGCAAACACAAGATCCAGGTTCGATTTAACACAGTGCATAAAATTCGTGATCTGGTCCCATCTGTGAAGGATAAGATCCCTGACATAAAATACCCCGGCGTCTACATGCTAAGCTGTGTTTGCGGCAGTAGTTACATTGGGGAAACTAAACGACATGTCTCGGACCGTGTTCGTGAGCATAAGGCAGATCTGAAACACGGGAGGACCAACACGTCAGCCGTGGGTGATCATTGTTTAATGCGGTGGGCTCACACGAAATTCATTTCTCTAAGACGAAGGTGCTTTGCAAGCCCACTGGCTATCAACAAAGATTCGTTCATGAAGCCATCCATATATATAGACACAGACACAATTTCAACCGAGAGGATGGGTACAAACTCAGCAATCATTGGAAGAACGTCATCAATCAGTTTAAGTCATAACTGGCTGTGATGTTTCAATATTATCACCTTCCGATGTTAGTTTTATTTTACCAAAAACGGGACAAGCAATTCCAGTTCCTGCGGTGTCGCCCCTGCATTGGGCGCACCACAAGTTGTTAATTTCTCCACGTCTCATGCGGCTCCCCTTCTCCTCATTCCGATTTCACATTAACATAACCATCTCCACTTGCGCAGGCCACAGGGCACTTGTGCCCCGTCCACTTCGTTCTGCTACCAAGACGCCTGGGCTACGCCCATTTTAAACCTTTATAACAACTTGCCTTTAGTGGCTTTCCCCCCTTTTTCCTCCTGATGACAATCGCCTGTGTTGCAATCGAAACGTCGTAGGTTTTTGTTTATTTTATTATTTTTTGAACTTATCTACACGACTTTACCGAAAGACCCAAAGAACATGGTGAACTTATTTCGAACCGTCCGTATCCAATCGTGCTAATTGGAGGTGCGCGGGAAGGAAAACAAAACTATGGACCCATATAGCAAACCACTGTAGCATGTGCTCCTCCAACGGAGGAGGTAGAGCCAAAGGACACCAACTCTCCCTCTCTCATGAAGCCCCCCTTGTCGTGGTGAGCAGCAGACCTCGACATTGGCATCTAGCTCCCGAAGCATCTTGCCATCCGCTCGAATAGAACAGAACTGCCTCCCTGGTTAACGTCGCTTCTCGCCCCACCACGACCCAGCCAGCTGAGATGAAATGCCCGCAGGTGCCCTGTGTATAGTCTCAGCCGGTTGGTGGCGGCGGTGGTGGCTGTGCTGCTACTGCTGCACGTGGGCTGCTTGTAACCCTCCAGCGCGCAGACAGCAGGAGCAGTGCGGATAGGTGGATCGCCGCACAGATGTTGAGGAACTCCCTTTCCGTGGGAGTGAATGAGTGATTGAATGATCGAGGTGAGTGGGTGGGTGGTTGAGTGAGTGCCTGAGTCTCAGAGTGGGTGGGTTTCCACCTTCTCCACAGATATTTCTCAGCCAGCCTCAAGTGGTGGACATAAGCAGGCCCGGACTGGCCATCGGGCAGCAGTCTATAGGGCAAACGCCCAGTGGGCCGGTCAATTCTGAGGGCCGGTGGGCCGGTCCATTCTGAGGGCCGGTGGACCGGTCCATTCTGAGGGCCGGTGGGCCTGTCTGTCTGGGGAAATTGCGAATGTGATGAGAGTAAAAAAAATATGACGATATTTTATGACTTCTGCGTACACTGCATTGCTTATTTACACTCTCGGTTCGCATTAAGTCCTATCCACATATTCAGCAGCCCCAAAGATTCCTCCTCACTGGCCCCATTTGTGTTTGTGGACACAGCCCAAATGGCTTGGCTAATTTTACACGCTTTTATTTAACTCACTGTCTGTTGTATCCTCAAATCTTGTAACTCAATTTTTACCCACTTCCCAATGTGGTATCGACTGCAAACTTGGTATACGTATGTCATACTGATGACAATACTATATTATATCATTAAAAATCAAAAACATATATTTTTAATCGATAGTTTTTTATATCTTATGTTTCGGCTTGAGTCTAATTGTCCACGATCAACTCACGTTAGCTGTAAATCACCACAGTTCCTTACGTTATGGCAAGCTTCGGGGCCACTTCCTGGAGTTCTGCCATTACTCATACGGTACATTTCAATAAAGCGTGTTTAAAAAAAAGTATTTCTAAATGACTTATTTAGCTCCAGTCCGTCACTGGACATGAGTCAATTGCTCCTAAACAAACCCATTTATAACCCCCCCCCCTATTTTCTCTGAAAGTGGACTCGCCCTCGCCTGTGTAGTGGTGATACGCGCTGGCAGTAGGGATCGTGTGGCAGCGCGTGGTGATTGGTTATGTGGTGGTGACACGCGCTGGAAAAAGGGATCGTGTGGCAGCGCGTGGTGATTGGTCAACTAGAGTGGGTGCTCACATCGCGGTCCGCATAGGCTCCGTCCCTCGGGAGGGGAGGACTATAAAAGGGGATGCGCGCGGGCGCTCGGGGAGTTGGTAACCAGTGAAGACGGAAGATGGAGGAGGAAGAGATAGGGCCTGAGACCCCTAGCCCCGCTGTCCTTGTGAGGGCCGGGCTGCGGGACCCAGTGGTCGTGATCCATACCCCAGCTGGGGTAGGTCTGTGAGTTCCCCTGGAAGCTACGGGGCTGGAGAGCCCGTGTGTGTGTAGTCGGGTGGAACGTGTAGCGTGAGCTGTAGTTGTCCACACGTGTTATTGTGGCTAAGGAAGAGCTGTAGCTGTCCACACGTGTTATTGTGGCTAAGGAAAGTGTTAATAAAGTGTGCTACCCGTCAAGTGGTCTCCCGCCGTAATTTACAATATTACACCTGCGTCACAGATCAATATTCCTGTGCCCAAATATATTGGATCATTCCACTCCCATTCTTGGGCTTTTCTCGCAGTTTCTTGGGTTTCTGTGTATTGTGCGTCTCATTTCCTGGGGTTTTTCTCTTATGGTTCTTGGTCTTCTGCCTCAAGTTTGGGGGATTTCACATCAAGGTTTAGTTCAGAGGAGGTTCTCACTGATGTGAACCCTTTTGGGTTGACGTGTGTGACATATCAAAGGAAAACGCCATTAGTTTATGACGTGGTTTGGTACAAAAATTACAAATAATGTACCAAATGTCGACATCTTTTTACAAGTAAAACCAATACAAGGTCTCTTATTTATCAAATTTTAATACACTTTTCATAACGTACAATATGAAACAGTTACGTTTTTGGGATATACAGTATTTTGCAACACTCTATAATCAATAAACTTGCAACATTACTCTCTGAGGTTTTTTTTCATATTAAAACTGATATTGCCTATTTTTGTAGTAATAAAATAATTTAGGGTACCATATAAATATGCGTTAAGAGCAAGGAAAATAATCTGAAAAACATTCCGGTCGCTAACGTGCGTGCGTGCGTGTGCGTGTGTGTGATGACGTGGAAGTGCAACATTTGTTGTTGTTGTGATGTAAGTTTATTTACACGCGCGCGTGCGCGTATCCTACGCGTGTCCTCTCTCCGATAGCCGCAGCGGGGATAGCGGTTGTAGAATTAAAACTGTGAGACTCGGACAAGCAAGCCACCTTCCTTACGCTTCACACGACCCAACCTGTCCAAACAACCAGGTTATTAACACCCCATGCTCCCATGTTCCGAACCAAAACCTAGCTTTATCATGCATCTCGATTGTTTTTTATTCGGTTTTATACAAATGTATAATAATAATAATAATTCTACAAACCCGTCGTACTTTTGTGTTTCCCCCCACGCGTGCGGTCGACGTTGCGTCGCGGTAAACGAGAACCGCTCTGAGCAAAAGCGGGGCGGTGGAAGGGGTGGTGGCGGTGTTGGTGGCGGTGGATGAACGTCACTGGCGAGGCCACCGGGGCTGCCGACAAGTCGAGGGAGGGCCCCGCGGGCGGTCAGTCGGGGCCCTCTTCCTTGCCGGGGGCCGGGGGCTCCCCCCCCGCGTGCGACGCCACCGCCGTCGTCGCCGCCGCCGCGTGCTCCCGCGCCTTGAGGCGCAGCGCGGCGATGCTGGAGGCGCGCCGGTCGGCCGCCACGTTCGACGGGTCGACGGAGCCCAGCGGCCCCCCCAGCGAGTCCGACGCGCCCAGCGGCGGTGGCCGGAAAATCGCCGTCGCCGGGTTCAGCGTCGTGAACAGCCTGGAGGGGTCGGGAGCGATCACGCTCCGGTTAACATCTCGCCGCCGTGGCGATGGTGAGAACGCCGCACCGTGCGTTCGTTACCGACGTGACTAGACAGACAGGCGTCAACATCGGGCGTTGAATCAAATCGTGCGGCCATCCTCGATGGCAAATCGTAGAATTGCTCAGGGTGGGAACGAGAGACGGAGTTGTTGGAATCAGCTCAGCCGTGCCAAGAACAACAACAACCGCCGTTCACCACAAAGTGGCGGTGATGTCGCCACGGCGCTTGTGCCACGCTAGGTGCACTTTGAGGCCTGCTGTGAGTGAGTGACCGGTCAAGTGCAGTAGCAGTAACAAGAAAGACAAGCGGACAACATGCCACGTTCACATATCTGCCTCTTCGCGTAAAAAATGAAAATAGCTTTTATCCATTCCATCAGCCACACAGCCTGGGAGTGCATTACATTCAGCAATCCCGACTCGAATGTCGAAGCCAGTCCAGAAGTGTTGCTTGTGTTAAACAAATTCTGCTGACATCACGCACTCCCAGAAGGCCGCTTGTTTAATGATAGTTATGAAGGAGGAGGCATATCTTCCGCTTATTTGGTTTGCTATTCATATCACTCCACGACGTCGCTTCTTATTAGTTTGTGTTAAGTAGCCGTGGCAGTACCAGCACCACGTTCCACAGGGCAGCAGCAGCTACAGCAGGAATGCACATGCCATGAGGCAGCAGCTATAACAGAAGCTACAGCAGCAGCGCCACGCTCTGCAGGGCAGCAGCAGCAGCTACAGCGGTAACAGCAGCAGTGCACGTCCCACAGGGCAGCAGTAGCTACAGCAGCAGTGCACGTCCCACAGGGCAGCAGTAGCTACAGCAGCAGTACACGTCCCGCAGGGAAGCAGCAGCTACAGCAGCAGTGCACGTCCCACAGGGCAGCAGCTACAACAGCAGTGCACGTCCCACAGGGCAGCAGCTACAACAGCAGTGCACGTCCCACAGGGCAACAGCTACAAAAGCAGTGCACGTCCCACAGGGCAACAGCTACAAAAGCAGTGCACGTTCCACAGGGCAACAGCTACAAAAGCAGTGCACGTTCCACAGGGCAACAGCTACAAAAGCAGTGCACGTTCCACAGGGCAACAGCTACAACAGCAGTGCACGTCCCACAGGGCAACAGCTACAAAAGCAGTGCACGTTCCACAGGGCAACAGCTACAAAAGCAGTGCACGTCCCACAGGGCAGCAGCAGCAGCTACAGCAGCAGCCGAGGCGCTGGCGGCGTGGCGCACCTGCCGAAGATGGGCGTGATGAAGGGGTGGCGGAACACGCTGGCGCTCAGGTAGCTGCACACGCCGATGGAGGCGGCGGGGCTCAGGGCGGTGGCGGCGGGCGGGGGCAGCGCGGCGAACGCCGCCGCCGTCGTCCACGAATCGAGGGCGCCCGGGTGGGAGATGGAGCCGTCGAGGTACGGAGCGATGGCGTGCAGCCCCGCGGCGCCCGCGAACGGCATGACGTGCGGGTGGTGGCCCGCGACGCCCGCCTTCTCGCGCTTCCTCCACTTGGCTCGCCGGTTCTGGAACCAGACCTGCGACGGGAGGTGTGGGAGGGGGGGGAGAGCGTCACAATGTCAGCGTGCGCTGGCGTGCGTGCGTGCCGGGCTTGCCGGCGAGTGTGGGGCTACGCGGGAGGTCGAGGCGGCGAGGGTTTGTGGTGAGAGAAGCTTCGTGGCCAAGTGAACGATCGGGGCCCAAAGCTCAGCACGCTCCGTGGAGGCGCTGGGCTCAATGGAAAATTAACAAATGACAATAATCCAGTGCGTTTGGCGTTGCCGCAATCATCCTTGTCGCACGAGCCTGCCACCACGACCGTGTTGCACTGGCACAACCCGTACTAGTTTCACAGCACGGGCGATGTTTCTTTGTGTGATCCCAATTGAGTAAATTTTTCGAATGAGGTTACTTTGGACCGTGACGCCAGTTGGCACATAACGGCCCCTCCTGATGGGAATGAGGTCACGGGATCTTCCAACGACGTCCGCTGCGGGTGAAGCGGGCGGCGCGTGGAATTTTACGATGAAGACCCCTGCAGTGTTAACCAGGGCGGCCTGTCGGGTTTGGAGGCTTCAAACTGGAGCCGCGTAGCTTGGCAGAAATGCTACTGTGGGATTCGCACAAATGTTTGCCAAATCCTTGTATGTATGGATGTTGAACTTCTTTCGCACCGTATGTAACCAACCGTGCTAATCGCAGGTGTGGTGGAAGGACAACAAACTAAACATAAAATGTAGTTCTTAAGAAATGAGTTTTCAAAATAGATTTAAAAGTGCATAGCTCCAGTGGCTTCCGAATATAGGAAGAGCACAGAAGCGCATCTGAAAGCGAGTAATGCGGTGACCGTCTTTGTTCGAAGGGCAGCCAAAAGTCGCTGCGAGGATGACCGGAGTTCGCGTGATGATGGTCTATGCCCTTAACGAGATCAGCGAGGTATTGCTTGTTCATTTGTGGCAAGCACTTTGTGTGTAATGAACGACGCAGATAATCGCCAAATGTACTTAAACGCGTTTTTAGATATTCTTGGTTCTTTCGGTAAAGTTACGTAGAAGGGAAAACAATTAAAGAATGAAAATAAAACGTTAAAATTATCACGACGTTTCGATTGCAACACAAGCAATCATCATCAGGTGTGAAAACCACAGCAAGAATTTTTTTTCTTTTCTTGCTGAATTTTTTAAAAAAAATTCTTGCTGTGGTTTTCACACGTCATGATGATTGCTTGTGTTGCAATCGAAACGTCGTGATAATTTTATTGTTTTATTTTTATTATTTTATCGTTTTCCCTTCTACGTGACTTTCCCGAAAGAACCAAGAATATGAATCCCCGCAGTCACGAAAGCTTTAAAACGTTTTTAGATGTCACCATTCGAGATGCATGATTTGCTGCTGCTCCTGCTGCGCTAGATGTGGTGCACAAGCACAAACAACAATGACAACAAAATTCAACACATTCGTCAGCAACACACACTGCGTAAAATGAAAAGTGCTGGTGACGCACCACGGGAAGAAGGATATAATCAGGGATGCAATTCACGGGGAAAAGAAAACGGAACGGGAAAAGCAAGACAAAGAATAGGAATAAAAGGGGAAAACGAACAGAGAAACGAGAGCAAAGGGTACAGGAGAGATGAGGATACGGAGGTGGAGGAGGCTGCATCCTCGATGCTGCTACTGCACGAAGCCGCGGGGTCTGTTTTCACAGAAGTCACGTGATTTGCGGGAGCCTTGAGTTGATTGACAATGGGTGACGTTTCAGGCAATGGCTCTTGTTCGTAGCACAGAGGATAGGCCTTCTAACGTTGCCAACAATGTCACGAAACAATTTACCAATATTATTACACGTGGTCAACTGATGCACACCACACACACAACTGGAACCGCTCAATTAATACCCACAATGTGATTTTCCCAGGTCGCTAGGCTTTTTCGCTCGTCTGCTACAGCAACTTTGTGTGAAGGAGAGCCGACACGAGGTTGCAGGGGGTTCGTCCTTTATTTATTCCCCCAGTCCACACTCGTGCCCAGCCTTCTCCGTCCGTTTCCCACCAGTTCGCCCCCTCCAGCCCCTCAGCCCCCCTCTCATATCTCCTCGCCTGCTCCTGCCCCCTTCCACTGTTTCCGCTCCACTGTCCCTCTCCTTTTGGTGGGAATCCTTCCCCTGAAAACGTAAACACTGTCCCCAGATATAGCGAATCAGACTAACCCACGACGACACGGATCTAGTATAGACAGTCATCGACTTACGAACACCCGACTCACGAAACAGCTTCCATTCCATGTGTTTTATAAACATCGACTTAAAACGCGAACTCTCACTTCCTAATTGAACCGCGGCACTATTTTGTCCAGCTGACCGATTCTCCGCGAGGTGTAATGAGTCTGCCTCGTGCTGGGAGTGTTTGTGTGCGTGGGCATTTAAATACAGGAGACGGCTGTGTTCCGACTTACGAACCGGTCTCAAGAACTGTGTTCGTAAGTCAATGACTTCCCGTGCGTGCTCATACCAGCCGACCAGCCGGTCGTGTCGGTTTTATAGACCACTGTTATGGTCAAAATATAGTGAATTAAAGATATAATAATGGGGTTTCCCCCTTTTTTATCACAACAAAACTGAAACCCTTTTACAAGGAATCATGTCTGCATTAACCATAATACTTTTGGTCAGAATGCAAACAAAAACATACTTTTGATTTAAAGCTTTCGTGACTGCAGGGATTCATGATCTTGGTTCTTTCGGTAAAGTCACATAGAAGGAAATTAATAAAATAGTAAAAATATAAAACAAAAAATTATCACGACGTTTCGACTGCAACACAAGCAACCGTCGTCAGGTGTGAAATCCACAGCAAGAAATTTTTCTGCTGTGGATTTCACACCTGATGATTATTGCTTGTGTTGCAGTCGAAACGTTGTGAGAATGTTTTATTATTTTATAATTTTATTATTTCTCTTCTACGCGACTTTACCGAAAGAACCAAAAATATGAAAAAACATACTCTGGTGTGAACCAATCAGTTTCAAGGACAATGCATATATTTATCAGAGTACTAGCTGTACTACCTGGCTTCGCCCGGGACTTGTATCCACCACGGCCGGCCGCCTTTGTCTCCCCAGTGGCGATGTTAATACGCTACAGCAGTTACTCGTTTGAGGCAGAGTCGACCTAGGGGAGGTTCAAATAATCGTCACCGGTGGTGGCCGTGAGCGGGAATGGAACTGGGTTCGCCGGGTTGGTAGCGCAGCGTAGCGTTAAGCACCACACCCACCGCTCCTCACACACCACACACGCACAGACAGACACACAGACACACACACAGACACACGCAGACACACACAGACAGAGACACACACACACACACAGACAGCACGCTAACCACTACACTACCGCTCCCCACACACCACACACGCACACACACAGACACACACACAGACACAGGCAGCACGCTAAGCACTACACTAACGTTCCCCCTACACAACACACGCGCGCGCGTCCATAGGTACACATACACGCGCTTGCTGCAGACACACACGACTTTCAGGGTGCGTACGGCAGTAAACGACTGAAATAATAAAGCGGCAATGCTGCGCAAGGAACTCCTTAGACCTGCTACACATTTGTGTAATGCGAGCGTAAACACACAAACACATACAAACACATACACAATACACACACACATACATGCAGACAAACAGACAGACACATAACACACATACATACACACATACATACACAGAAACACATACACACACATACATAGACACACACATACATACACACAAACACATGCACACACGTACATACATACATACAGACACGCAGACATACACATAAAGACATAGAAAAAAACCCACATACATGCACACACACACAAACACATACACACACATACATACACACATACATACAGACACACAGACATACACATAAACACATACACACATACACATGACCCGGCTTCGCCCGGGACTTGGATCCACGATGCCCGGCCGCCTTTGTCTCCCCAGTGACGATGTTCACACACGACAGCAGTTACGCGTTTGAGGCTGAGTGGACCTAGGGGAGGGCCAGGTCCGTTTCAAATAATCGTCAGCGGTGGTGGGCGTGAGTTGGAATCGAACTGGGGTCGCTCAAACAGCTTAATGACTATTTGTACAAAGAACATATAAAGAATCGATTATAATAACCAGGCTACAGTCCACATTACAGACTGGCAGTACACGCAGTCAGCTTCATAAGCAGGCTAGAGTGTACATGATAGAGTGGCAGTACGCTCACCGAGCTTAATAAGCAGGCTACAGTCTACATGATAGACTGGCAGTACGCTGACCCAGCTTAATGACTATTTGTACAGTGAACATTTAAGTAATCGATTGTTGGCGCGTTGGGTTTAAAAGTAATATTAATTGCACACATTGTGGTGGGGGTGGAGTGAAGAGTAGGAAAAACTTTGATGAATTTACCTCAGAGTGGCGTGGTGGGTGTGGAGGCCTAGTAGCGTGCAGAGCCTGCGGCCTCGCCAAAATTGTCCAGCCGGCAGAGGCAGGGTACGGGTGGCGTGCCTCCCCCCCCCCCCCCCCCTCAGCGCTCCAACAATACTGTGTAATGGCTATTATTTAATTATTTACGGAGCCTATGAAAGTGGCGAAGGCGTGGCTAGCCGTTGGCAGGGGCAACCGCCGTCCAATGAAACTGCAGCCCTTGGCGAAGGCGTCGCTAGCCGTTGCCAGGTCCAATGAAAGCGGCGGCGTCGCTAGCCATTGCCAGGGGCAACCGCCGTCCAATGAAAGTGCGTATGGTCCGAAATCCACACACACACACACAGACGGACAGACAGACATCTACGATTTTATATATATAGATGTTTTTTGTTTGCATTCTGACCACAAGTATTGTGGTTAATGCAGACATGAATCCTTGTAAAAAGGTTTCAGTTTTGTTTCCAGAAAAAAGGGGAAAACCCCTATTCTTATATTTTGGTACTGGCAAAGGAGATCCCATGATGATAGCGAATAAAGTTTCAGAAGCAACTTG